AACCCTAAAAACACTAGCTGCTTCAAATGTATTGGAAAACTCAGCTTCCGCCTGCACTACAGTGTGAATGTCTGTGGTCTTAACATCTTTGTTTCTGGAACGGGTAGCCATGGTTTTATGACTGTGGAGGTAGAATTTTATGAACAGAGGCAGCAAGGCAGCGGGACTGACTTTGTCACTGTAAGTGTGTGGGTGATAGCTTGTGTTACAAAATTAAAGTAATTTGTATGTTTATTTGAAAATTATGAAGCACATTTTAATTAAGAGATGCCATTTGAAAGCACCGTCTCTTTGTGCCTGCTCTGGTGTGGAAAAACAGGGGTTCCTCTTCCCTGGCACAGTCGAGGGCAGCAGCATGTGGCTGGCCCTGTAGAGCAGCGGACAGAACAGGGAGATCCTGCCACAGAAGCTTCCTGGTGCCACCACAACATTCCCCAGAACTGCTGGCCCCTGCGTGCCTTCCTGTTTGCATTTACATTGCAAAATTCTGTGCTTTGTGATCTACTGACAGACTGATGCAGAAACAGCTTTCTCTATGAAACCAGAAAACTCGTGACGAGGTGAAACTGTCCTCATCATAAGCTTTTTGGGGGGAGAGGGCAGAAAAACCTTGGACAATTTCTTGGGATTTTGAAAAATAGAGGATTGATGCTACAGGAAATTTTCTTGAGAGTTGCATCCTAAGGGAGGGACTCAGGATGTAAAACGCTGACTTTATCGTGTGCCCTGGTCCTGGGGTTCATGACACTCACTTGGAGGCTCAGTGTGTGGCACAGAACAGATTGAGACCTTGGTATTGTTTACTAATTGTGCTACCCCAAGTCAGTGTTCCCTTGTCCCTCCACCCGCCCGTCCTGCTCATTTAAGGCTTTCACTCTCCGCTGTGGTTTAATTATCCAGATTTTGCCCACTTGACAGCTTAAAAGCATTAAAAGCTTAATCTTTAACAGCTCAACCAACTCATTTATATACTGGCAAATAAGATGAACTTAATGACTTCAAGGTGTCTTTCTTTAGAAGCCACATTGTTGTGATAGGAGATAGAAATTTGTTTTGATTCCGGACCCACAGAAGAAAGTAATACAATGCAGTTGTCTTGTGAAACAGGAAATTAGGAAGAGCTGGGTTATCGGGGCCATATTGGTGGCCCTAGAGAGTTATGATTAAGAGTAGGCGACAGTTCATACGCAGGAGTTGATTGTGTCAGGATGTGTTCAAGAAAAGAGAAAACATGGTGAGTATTTTAAATAGAGAAGGTTTAATACAGGAAACTGGTCATGTAGTTGTAAGCACAGAATGAAAACAGAATCGTAATACAGGGATCAGTAACTAAAGGAAACTCCATAGGCTCAGAAGGGTTGCCACCACCACTGATGGGGTGCCTTCAGGGGAGCTGCCACTCCCTGAGAGCTGAGGTTATGGTGAGGGTCCAGTGCTGTAGTCCCTGGACTATGGAGGGGACCAAGTTACTTCAGAGGCAGCCAGAGGAAGGAGACAGTGAGGTTGGGCCAGGGTTCTGCTCCCGTCTCCTGCACTTCTGAACCCTTATACCTAAGGTCAGAAATGTATTGAGGAACTAAATGGCAAAGGAACCTGGGAGTTGTAGTTTACAGATTCCTCGCCCCATACACCAGAGCAAGGTATGGAAGGTGAGTGAAGAACTAATAGGTGAATAACTTGTTCACTACCCATCTGCTCTGCGCTGGGTAGTTCTTGTTAAATCACCATTTTTCTCTATTTCTTATAAAGTGTTCCTTTTGTGTACAAAAATGAAAGTCTGTTTCTTGATCTGACCTATTATTCTGCAATTTATAGTAACAGTAAAAACCCAAGTAATAGTAATAAATTGAAAAATACATGAAGAGTTGTATTGTATTGTATGAATGAACTTACAGTGGTTGCCATGGGTGTGTTAGAATGTCCCCACAGCTTTTGTCCAAGTGACTCAGATGTATTAACCTTGCGGGCGACATCCGACTTGAAGAATAACTGAGATCCCCCCCATAAAGAGACACAATTAAGTACTACTATGATTAAGCATCTATGTTATTTTAAGTTTTTGCCCTTTTCATCATTAATGATACTAAAAGACAAAATATGTAAGCCGATTTTCTCAGTCCTATGGGAAATTCAGACAGCAGTGGATATTCCTCAGTGTTTCCAGAATCCATTAACCTCTTTCTGCATACTACGGGCCATCTGTTTGCTGTGTGGGAACTGCAACAAGTCACAATGTTTCTGTTGTCTGTTAGAAGTATACACTTGACAGGAAGAAGGAAAATTGTCCTAAACTGATAATTGCCTTCTTTTGTACTTTGTGGGGCGTTAGAGGGATAAAATACTTTCAGACGAATTGTTCATTTGAAGTGAGCTCAAGGGGCTCGAGGGTTACTTGCTGAAGAATCCCCCACTTCACCCTCTGTGGCCTGCATTAGCCATGCACGTGGAAAGCCAGCCACTTTGTAGTGCTGCTGTCAGCATTAAAATCTCCTCTCAAAAGAAAGCAGTAGATAATCTCTCCTTCCTCCGTGAGGTGAACCACTGTCCACGTTGTCAAGAGGCTTTACATGAGCCTGGAGAATTTTCAAGGGATGTATGAAGTAGGCCTGAGAGACGTATGTTCATGGTATTGGGTTTTGATGTAGATGAGAGAGGATCCTAGATCGTTCATCACGCAGTAAATTGGACACATGCAGCTTTTAATCACATGAAGTATTTGTTTACTATTTTAAATACTTTATTAAGGATGGGATATGTAGGGGCCGGGGAGGTGGCTCAGTAGGATAAGCGCTTGACTGGCAAACGCAAGGATCTGAGTTCAATCCCCGGTTCCGGGAAAAAAAAAAAAAAAAAAAAAAAAGGATGGGGATATGTGGAGACTTCCTAGAAAAAGAATAATGAGTAGTTCTTTTTCAGCCTGAAATACCACTTGCTGTGTAGAATCACCAAATAATAGCTTCTCTCGTTAAAAGATCTCAGGCTATAGACTTATGCCTCTAGGCTGTCATCCCTGACTCCCTATTGCCAAATGTGGTGACTTAGGGCAAGTTATTAATTTCCTTATACCTTAGCTGCTTCATCTGTAAAATGGGAGTAATAATGCCCACTTCCTTGGGATTGTTTTGAAAAGCAGATGGGTTGAAATGAAAAATTAGAAGGTCCATAAAGAAAGGTTAGGTTATCTTTTTTTTTTTTTTTAAGTTTTTGTTGGTAGTGGTGGTGATCCCTTAAGAGAGCAAAAAAGTATAAAAATTGGTGTTTGTTTCATTTTCAGTATGCAGATCTGAACCGCCATGTGGATGCTTTGAATGCATGGAGAAACGCTACTGTGCTGAAGCCGGAGCACAGCCTGGCGTGGAACAACATGATCATCCTCCTTGACAACACAGGTACAGGGGGACAGGCCAGGGAATCAGGAAAGGGAGCCCAGCAGGAGACAGAGGAGATTAAGCACCCTCTCCCTGAGTTTAAAAAACAGCATATGGATAAGTCTTTTGCATTTAGAAAATACAAAAGGTACCTCTAGACAGTGAGGTGTCCTGGAGCATATTGGGATCTGGACATGATGGAAAGTGGTGCTGCACTGAAAATGCATGTGGTGGCGCCAGATGGCACGTGACCATCTCTTCTTTATTCCCAGGCCAGCGTGCCAGCCACAGCCTCACCCAGAATGCTGGGTGCACCCAGGTGTAAGCAGGAGCGCCTTTGGCTTCTGGGCTGGAAGGTGCGGGACAGTGTCCCAAGGGCCTGGGCTGTACACACTAGACTGCCCCCTGGCCCACTCTGACAGCCACATACAATGTTAAATACTTGATGATTTGTTTTCTTAGCCCAGAACAGACTAGACCCAACCATTAGTTATTTTGCAACCCTTATTTTAAAAAGCCAACCATCCTTTAAGAAACCATGGTGTTGATTTGGCACAACTGAAAGGCAGTAAGCCGTCTAAACAGAATAAGGAAGCAGCAGAGCCTTCCTTCCAAGGAAAGCACAGAATATGAACCTTCATAGGAAAAACACTCAGAAATTTCACGTGTGTCATGGTCCTCTCATCTTGCAGACTTCCTTTCTCCAGTTTGCATATAGCTGGGATCTGCGGTGAAATGAAAACTAGTTCTTCTATGACTTGGCAGAGTTGAATCAAAGGCTGTCTCCATGTGACATCCAAAGTGTGCCGAGTTGCTGTGGCCGTGTGCATGTGTATGTGTGTGTTGTGCCCTCCACGTGGATTTTATAATCATTGTACACAACGCATGTAAGCCCTGCTGTCAGAGAGAGAGACCAAAACACAAGTACAGCCTCAGTGTGGTTTTTATTTTTCCTTCCAGGTAATTTAGCCCAAGCTGAAGCAGTTGGAAGAGAGGCGCTGGAATTAATACCTAATGATCACTCTCTTATGTTCTCCTTGGCAAACGTGCTGGGGAAATCCCAGAAATACAAGGTGTGTGAACTGTAGGCCCTGACTTCCTACACTGAGTGCCAGCAGCTGGCAAAGTCATCAGTGTTACTTCTGCGCCGTTTCATTCAGAATTAGGCTGAGAATGTGGCAGTGGTGGCCTCGTCAGTTTGTTTCTCAGAGAAATTGCCCAGAAGGTGGGTGTGCGGGGTCAAAGCCAGTGTCATCTCCTGACAGAGCTTAGTGTTGCTCATCAGTGTTTCTTCCTCAGAGGAGGAAGTGTTGGGCAGCGCTAGTGGCCAGGAAGAGCCCACTCAGTGCAGGGACAGCCCCTCTTGTGCCCCACCCCACCCCACCCCACAGGAAGAAGTGAGACATTTTCTCTTACCATGGGCTGCAGCTCCAGGTTTGTGTGTAGGATTGTGTTCTGCATGAAGGAAAAACCACGCTGGCTGTGGTGGTGCATGCCTATAATCCCAGCATTCGAGAGGCTGAGACAGGAGGATCACTGCAAGTTTACTGCCAGCCTGGGCTACATAGTGAGACACTGTGGCAAAGAAAAATGAGAGAAGGGGGATGAGGAAAGAAGGAAACATGGGGGCAGTGGAGAGGGAATAAAGGGGAGAGGGAGGCCAGCCCAAAAGTTGACACTTTTGGCCCACTGTCAACCCGGAAGATGCGTGACTGGCTCTGCCACTTGCCGAGCTTTCCTTCTCAATTGCAGACCATGGGAAGACCTTAGAAGCTCCTAAACAACAGAAACCACACACACCAAATCTGCTTTACTGGAGCTCCGGGCTTGGTGAGGAGTGGCCTGGGCTTGCTCCCTCTGTATTGAAGACAGCTTAGGTCCTAACACTGGTGATCTCAGGTTCTGGTTTTGCGTGTCACAGTCACTGAGAGTCTCTGGGACTGGATCAGGCCAGGGGACCTGCAGTTCTACCTAGCAGACATGGCTCCTGGCACAGACGTTCAGGGGACATCCTCAGAAGCAATGCCTTTGAGGACATTTTTTTCCTTTTGAAGGAAAAAATATCTTGCTTCGGAATCAGGAGCAGTGTGTTATTTTGATCACTGAGTCTACAGATGAGACCCAAGGCCTAAAGGAAGTGAGCAGTTAATATTCACCCTAAGTTATGTACTTTTCCTTTTTTTGTTGATTAGTTGTTAGTTAATGATACCATTTTTTCCTTTCTTCCTCGCTCTCGCCCTCGCTCTCTCTCTTTTCTCTCTCTCTTTTTCCCTCCCTCTCTGTCACTGTCTGTGTTTGTCTCTTGTCACTCCTGTCAGTACTAGGGATTGAACCCAGGGCCTTCACATTGAGCTACTGCACAACCAACCTTTGGAATGTCGGAGTTTAGTAGCCTCATTGTCCATCTTTATTTAGTGTTTCCAGATTTTGCTTTAAAGGTGACATTTTGAGAGGTTTGGTTTTATTTTTTTATGGTCCTGCTTGGGGAGCATGGGGGAGGTTTACAGTTTCCCGCCTGGTGACTTTTGGGTCACTGTCAACCCGGGCTGGGACAGGAGTCTGGATTCCCCTGTGACCCAGCCTCCATGAGTCTTCAAGATGCAGCACCACTGTCACTGTGTTGATTTTCCTGTGGTGCTGCAGGCTGTACACGGAAGTTTCTGTGAAGGAAGTAGAACCCAGGGCCTACTGCTTCAAGTTCACCTTGTCCTTTATTCATGAAGCAGAATGAAGCACCTAGTTTCCCATTTCCCCACACATTTTTTCATCCTAGTTGTCAGGGCGAGCGTGCTGAGCCTAAGATGAGGAAACAGGATAAAATCAAGGAGTCAAGAGCTCATGGTGCGCCTTTGGACAGCTACCAAGTGGAGAGCAAGCGGTGAATCCTCAAGCTGTGGTCACCCACCAAGGCAACATTGGATGCCCTTTTTTAATTAAGAATTTAGAGTGCTCCTTGCTGCTGCTCAGCTCTGCGCCTGCTCTTCCATCTCTGGGTGTCTCCAGGGCCCTGGCAGCTGCTTTCGAGAAGGGGCTGCTGCAGTGGTGCTCGAAGGGCTGGAGGGGACACACCTCCAGATAGGGGTCTGCTCTCTGGGTTACTTACTCCTTATCCAGCCACTTGCTTGCTTGCTTTCTGTAATGGGAACTCTGGAGGCTCCTGGCCTATTGGTAACCTCTCTGTTGCTGTCCAGGGTGCTGACAGGGCTGAGGTTAAGCACCCCGTTGAACTCTGGATCCTGAGGGCTCTGTAATGGCCAAGCTGATGTTCTCCTGTTTATGGCTGTAGCAGCTGCAGTTTACTTGTGTGTAAAGTGGAGCCCATGATCTTCCTGACCTCCTGATTGATAGAAAAAGAGGCACATGACCATAATGTGTAACTATGGAACACTTTTAGATTTATAAAACTTTACTCATTAAATGGATCTATAGGCAGGAGAGATAGCTCAGTAGAGTAAGTGCCTGCATGGCAAGTGCAAGGTCCTGAGTTCCATCCCCAGTACCACTAAATAAATAAATAAATAAATAAATAAATAAATAAATCTCTAATCGGCCTATTAGATTTATGTTACATCATGCCATTGAATTTCCAATGTGGAGCTAATGTGATCGAGCAAACTACAAAAGTAATGTTTTCAGGTTTAATGTGACACCTCCCTGACTGATCTCTCATTCCATGTTGCCCACTTCACTGGGCCTGGAGTTTAAAAGCAGATACAGTACTAAAGCCACTTCCACATCAAGATTCTTTTTTTTTTTTTTTTTTTTTCATTTATGTATTTGGTACAGGGTCTCACTATGCAGCTCGGACTCATAGTGATCCTCCTGTTTTCAGCCTCCCCTGCATGTGCCACCATGCCCAGCCTCACATCAGGATTCTACCTGACGTTTTACTTTATATTCTTGTTTAATTAGATTTCCAATGTAGGTAACTGTTTGACGTGTAAATATTGGATCATTACTATAAATGCAAGGTAACTGAAAACGCAGTGATTTTAGTCAGTCCTGGCTGTTGTCACTGGCTGTGCAGCTCTGAAACTGAGGGCCACTCTCTTAGCTTCAAGGGGAGAGTGACAGTCCTTGGTGGGTGTGACCTGCAGCCCACACCTGGGGGGGACCTTGGCAAGCTGACAGCTTTGCTGTGTAGCTTGCGGTTGGCCTTATACCAGGCTACCCACCCTCCCTGCCCTGAGGACATGGGTCACCCTGGGGACTCGACCCCAGCAGGCACGGCGCACTGGCTGTGTTTGCCCCATTGCGGTGGCTGAAACCACCTGCTCTGTCCTCTCCTGCATGTGAAGACCTGCCTTTGTTTCTTCTTAGAGACACAGCTGGCAAAGCTTTCCTCAGCCCAAAACCTTGGTCAGAAGCATTTTCTCTAAAACAGTTCAGAAAATAATACAGTCTTCCTTTCTGTTGAGGGAAAGCTATCCCTAATTTTATTTTATTTTATTTATTTATTTATTTTTGTGGTACCAGGGATTGAACTCAGGACCCTGTGCTTACTCGTCAAATGCTTATTCTACTGAGGTATCTCCCCAGGCCCCAAAGTTGAGAAGGATTTTTTTTGGCTGGCTCAGGCTGCCTGAAGGGCCGGTCTGGGGATCGAACTGCGGTATCCTGTGCCTGACTGTGTTTGCATAAGCAGGCGCTTAAACAACTGAGCTAACCTGCAGGCCCCCTATCCCCGATTTTAAATGTGACTTTTTTTTTCCTTGCATGAATTGGCTTGTTGTCTCGGTTTTTAAATTTTCAGACCCACCTGCAAAACCATCTTCTTCATTAATTTGATTGATTGATGTGCTGGGGGTGGAACCCCAGGCTTTGACCTGGAACTTCATCCCAACTCCTTGTTTACTGGTTTTTGGGTTTTTTGTTTTTGTTCTTTGTTTTGTTTTATTTCCTTTTTTGTTTTTTTGTTTGTTTGTTCTGGGGTTTTATTAATTCTTAAGCTGGGTCTTGTTAATCACTAAGTTGCTCAGAATGGGCTTGAATTTGTGGCCTTCTGCCTCAGCCCCAAAGAGTGCTGGGATAACAGACCTGTGTCACAGTATCCAGCTATGGATTCCTTTTAAACAGGTCACTGCTTTCCTGAACAGGCCCATTAAAAGTCTGATTCCATAGTGAGCCTTTTGAGGGCTTAAGATTCATGCAGATATAAGTGTGGCGAAGAAGCTTCGCTGTCACCCTCCTCTCAGGCACAGGTGCAGAAGGGGTTGCTAAGACTTGTGTCCAAGGCTCCCACTACTACCTGAGAGACTACACCACCACTAGGTCACTTCAGCCCACCTGCTCCGGACCTGTTTTCCTGGGATGCCCCTCTGTCCCTGGCTGCCATGGTTTCCCATCTCCAGGATCAACCACTAGCCCTTGCTTCCCCCACTGGCCTCCTGGTCCAGTTCTTCCACCTGTTCTTTGAACTCTGTCCTCCCTCCCTGACCTCCTTAATCCTTGCAGGCCTTGCCCTGCAGGAGTAGCGGCTCCTTGGGAGGCCTGAACCAGAGTCCCTCAGTTGCCACCAGCAGAGGGGCATCCATCCCCTCAGGCATGGATCTGGGCTCCCTACAAAGCTAACCTGTTTCTCACCATAAAACGGTTTTTGCTTGCAAGTCCCACATTGTTTGCAAGCAAGGGAGCATTTTTAAGTAGATTTTAGTTGCCTGGTCTTGTGTTCTCAAATTTTAGGTTTGAAACTCAGAAACAGTATCAATGCTCCGCAGTGAATTTGATTTTAGGGATTTTGTGCAATTTCTTTTTTCCCATTTAGGTGATACAGAAGGAAAATCTCAGGCTGCTATAAAGGTGCTGCAGCTGCTGACTCTTGGACTGTGGACACTAACGTGTCGACCTGATGTCTGTTCAGCCTTCATGACAGTTGTTTCTTGTTTGTTTGTTTATTTTTTTTGTTTGTTTTTCTTTTTTTGAGAGTATTTCACTATGCAGGCTGGGCTTGAACTCACTGTATAGTCCACACTGCCCTCAAACTCACAGTGATCCTCCTGCCTCAGCCTCCCAAGTACTGGAATTACAGGCATGTGCCACCATGGCCGGCTTGATGGCATTTCTAACATGCAAAGGCTTCTGAGCTACCTCTGTCTGGAAGGCCCTGGGCCTTGAGCTGTCCACTCACATCCCAGCCAGTGTCACAGGACTCCTCCAGTCAGCACAGAGCAGAGGAGATGCTAGGCTTGCCCAATAGCAAATGCAGCCTGGATTTTCAAGTTTTCCACCTAGAAAAATGCACATGGGACATGGGGACCAAAAGTAATTGTCCCTACACCAGTAGGCTTGGTTATTTAAGCTCAGAGTAGCACTGATCACACATTGCTCGACCTGGTCAGACAGGAATGTAGGGAAAGTGGCCACTGGCCCCAGGCACATGTCAGGGAGGACAGATGAGGCATCTTTACCTCGACACTGGTGGAAGGCGATCACATTATGTGCCGTATTTGGCATGATCGGGCTGGAAAACTCTTTGCCCCATGGCAGAGTGACCACATGGGAGGTATGGAGGTTTGGGAGGAGATGCAAGTCTATCCAGTAATGAATTTTCACGCATCGGGGGCATTTGGCTCCTGTCAAATACAGTACTGTGGCACGTAGCTTTCTCGTTGTCCTGCTCGTTCTTTCCAGATGAGTGGGCTGCTTCTGGCTTACCAAGGGTGTCATGGATTCTCAGGGAAATTAAACAGGCCCCCCTCTACTTCAGGTCGGGGCAGAGAGGTCACCAGTGCAGGCTCCCAGTGTCTTCTCCAGTGGTTCTTTCCTGTTTTTTTCCATCCCTCACCACCCCACCACCACCACCACTGCAGCTGGAACCAAGACGCTTGCAAGAAGTCGCAGGATTCCAGCCATTTCCAGGAGACAGGTAGCGGAGCTCACAGGCAAACTTGTCCCCTCCCTGGGATCACTGTTACATCACCACAGTGTCCACAAGCTCTTCAGAGTTTGTTCCTGGAACCATGCAATGGTACAAACCAGGGGCATTCAAAATCTAAAAACGCAGGCAATGAAGCAGCCAGTCATTTTCACTTCATGTACAGTGCTCTCTTTTCTCTGTGCTTCATTTTTTAGGAATCTGAAGCTTTGTTCCTCAAGGCCATTAAAGCAAATCCCAATGTGGCAAGTTACCATGGGAATTTAGGTAAGGAAAGTTGCCAACTGGAATCTTGAAGCTCTGGGTACTTGCAATAGAACGAGCATGTTTCTGTTTAGGGGAGAAGTGGTATTTTCCTCAAAGCTAGCCCAGCCTTGATAACCTGACACTAAAATGTGGTTTTATTTTAACATTTCAAAGACAGCTACAGATTGTAACTGCATGGCCAGCACCACCCCCAGAATTTTGACTGTTTGTCACTTGTTAACATTAGAACTTGGGGCTTGCTCCTGTAGGTGACAGATCCAGTGACACTGGAAGTTTACCATTGAGGCACCTCCCGAGCCCTCTTTCTCCCATCATGGACCCCCCTCTTCCAGCCTGGTCCCTTCTGCTGTGTTTCCTTATGCCCCCGCCAAGACTCCACTCACAACTGCCTACTCCCAGAAGCCCCTGCTTCCTTTCTTCCAGCTCATAGTCAGCATTTGCAGGGCGTAACTTGCAGGTGTGCAGGTTTCAGGGCGCTCAGACACATGAATGTTTCTCTTTGCCAAACTTTCACCCTGCCACCCCAAATTTTTCATTACCAAAGTCACAAAACATTAGTAGTTATTTTCCTGCCCCTGAAGAAAGTTAGTTTACTTATAAAATCATCATTATCAAGCTTTTCATAATAATAATTAGGCTTATCATAGCTATCATAGTAGAGTCAGGTGTTCACGTTAAAACCCCTGCTTTCAGTAAGCAGCACACAGCTATTACTTTGCTGAATGGCATGGAGAAATCTTTATTCAAAATCAACGACTGCCAGGCATAGTGGTGCATACCTATAATCCATGTAATCTGGGAGATGGTGATAGGAGGATTGCAAGTTCAAGCCCAGCCTGGGCCCTGTCTCAAAAAATTAAAAAATTAAAAAGGGCTGGGGATGCAGCCCTTCATGTTGATGAAGGCTCTGAGCTCATTCCCCAGTAACTGAGCAGCAGGCATCTCTATAAAAGGCTGGACCTGTGCACAGGCAGAGTTCTAAGCAGTGCCTGGTCCCATCTTCCCCAGCCTGGCTCCCCAGAAGCTTCATGGCAGCGTTGAGACACTTAACACACTGTTCTCTGCCTATTCATGTGATCAAATCGCTGTCGGCTGCCAAACATCGTATTGATGTTTCCCATGCAGCGACACGAAGAACCCCGTGAATCCCTGACATGGGTTGATCGCACAATCCCCAACAAGTGCAGTAACAGTCAATAAAGTTTGTAGTACAAACAATATTTTTATAAGCACCGCTTTTTGAAAACTCTCTGCAAAGGTCCCACAGTAATTCTTGGTACCAGTAATTGAAGACGCTGCTGCGAGTTATTCAGAAGTGTTGCCAATGAAATCCGTCTCGTGCTGTTTCAGCTGTGCTCTATCATCGCTGGGGACATCTTGAGTCGGCCAAGAAACACTATGAGATCTCCTTGCAGCTCGACCCCGCAGCAGCAGGCACCAAGGAGAATTATGGTCTGCTAAGGAGAAAGCTGGAGCAGATACAGAAGAAGGACGTCTGATCTTCGTGCCTCGCCTTCTGAACGTGCAGACCAGGGAGTGTCAGGACCATGCACTGCGTTCAGCTGTTTCAAATTCTTTTCAGGTGTATGGTTATTCTGCCCATGAAAACAAAGACATGCAAAAAGATGATAACACCAGCGATATATTCTTGAATGCTTGATATGCTTTTTGCATCAAAATTGTATTTTTTCAATCAACTCAAATGTAATTCTAAAATCCCCCAAAAGGAAACCTTTTCTACCTAAAGAGAAAAAGAGAAAAAAAACTATCTTGTGACTTTTACTAGCATTCAACCTGTATTTGGGCAGTGCGCCTTGCATATGGACCGCTAGTACTATTAGACCTCGTTTGTGGGCTGGGTGTGTCCCTGTACTCAGCATGTGGGAGCCTGAGGCAGGATCACAAGTTCAAATCCCACCTGGGCACCTTAGGAAGCCCCTATCTCAAAAAAAGAAAAAAGGGTGGGGATGTAGCTCAGTGGTAGAGCACCCTGGGATTCAAACCCTGGTGCTGAAAACAAGGAAAAGAGAGAAAACCTCAGCTGTGGCCAGGAATGACCGTCTCTTGCCATTTATATAACTATCAAATGTGTCTGTATATTAGCATCTTTATTTAATGACAAGAAAGAGTCAATTAAGATTTGGGGGTTCTTTTAACCTTTTTTTACACTATACCATGAACTTGATTTATAAGGAAATATTTATTCGTATTTTTATGTGTTAGGCAGGGCAAAGAACTTAATGACAAATGGAAAATTTTGACATCCAATCTATTTATATACTTATCCTCCGTAGGAACAAACTGTTTGTATTCTCCAGCTTGTGCAGGTTCCATACACAGGAGGTTATATGATGTTCTACGTGAACTGTAACTATTGATAGGAAATCCCAGCCATGCTTTTAGGCAAAAGCAGCCTGACATCTTGTTTCTGCTGTATCCAGTGTCAAGAGGGCTACACATCTGTGTACGTCATATTTTTATGTTTTCATCTTTAAAGTAGTTTTTCATTTTGCTTCATGGTACCACAGACACCACTGTCCAGAATAATGCAAGAGGTAATTTTCTCTCAAAGGGTTCTATTTGAGGACTTAGTGGTATTTGTAAGAACTGGGTTGTTTTTCGGGTTTGATTTGGTCACAGTAATTATGTTTACTTGTTTTGTGCTTCTCTGTACACTGTTGACCCAGTAATTTATGCAATCTCTGTAATTTCTTACACAGTAAAATTATTACACAAACTGATGCAAAATGCCATCTTGCTTTGTGAATAAGTGATTTTCAAGTTGGGACATGTTTTGCCCTTCTTTACCTTCAAATGAAGTGAAGGTGAGCAACTCCTACTTTGTAGTTTGTGGCTTCTTACTGGTTCAGGGGTCCATTTCGTAGAACTGTCACAGGACATGATCCGAGTCTGGAGACCAGCATGCATACTTCAGTGCAGAGACAATTTTAATTCTCTGCACCTTCGGGGCCTACGTCTGTACAGACTCTTGAATCAGCCACGGTTACTCCCGGTACTTGAGCTACATGAGGACAGGAAGTGCTACTTAAATGCTCCTTATATAAGACTGACAATATATAGGTCTCTTAGGAGTGGGGGCTGGCTTGTCCCTTAAGTTCCTGTGATGCTTAGCAGGGCAGATAATAGATGTATATGTGCTTTGTTGAGTTTTTAAAGGAAATTTGTTTTTGTGTGAAATGGTATCCTTTGGAGAGTTCATGTTTTTTTCTTCTAAAAGCCCCTGAAAGATGTTTTTTCTGCACCCACTGTCAGTAGAACTTGAGTGTCAAATCAAGACCCACAAATCTGGACCCCTGCCCGTCAAGCACCTTCCCTTCGCTGACGCTGCTTCAGCCCTCTGGATCCCCGTGCAGCTGTTTGCTTTCCTGAGAAAACAGGCATTTATTTGATTGATATCGCAGAAAGCTTTTTATATCTGCAGATTTGGGAAGTGTGGCATGCCAGTTCTCTTCCCATCTGAAGTCAGCCAGCTTGTTTCTTGGGTGCCCCGCCTGATGGGACTGAAGTAGGGTACTGTCCCCACTCACTCTATACCTGGTGTCTAATGTTTTCATTGCTGTTGACAGTGGCTGTGGGGACTGCAGGTGGCTCTTCCCTCCAAGGTAGTGGGCCTCACCCATCTGGAAGGTAGTTCAGGTTTGTCTCCTGTGTGTTCATGCAGCAGTTATTTCCTATTCTTTCTTGTTCAGATTTGTCTCAGTGCAGGTGCAGACTTACATTTATAATTTCAGATTCTGCCCTGTCCAGGAGGAGCCCACCATGCCCAGGCAGGTTTTGGGGGCTCAGGGTCTGTCACATTTCTTAAGTATCTTTATATTTTCTTTTAAATCAGTGACCTAAGATAGCATACAGAGCAGAAGCTGGAGCCCAGCATGGAAGCTGTAGACATCTCTGTCTCCCATGCAGCCAGCTTGGATGTGGGGTTTGGCCCTCACTATGACAGCGTAGATCATTAGTGTTGCATAAACAAGGTCACTTATTTTTTTTAAGTTTATGTATTTGGTACAGGGTCTCACAATGCAGCTCGGCCTGATAATGATCCTCCTGTCTCAGGCTCCCTAGTGCTAGGATTACAGGCATGCACCAACATGCCCAGTTTCAGTGGCCAGCTCAGTGGGCCCAGGCAGGGCCAGCACAACATGCAGCACTGGCATTAAACCCCAGTCCCTGAGCTTGCCAGACAGGCACCTAGACCACCAAGCTATCTCCCCAGCCCAATGTTACTCATCTGTAAAGTAGGGACAGTGACCTTCCTAAAATGATGATGATCTTTAGGCCCTCAAACAGTGATATGTTGGTTTTGGGGGGATTTTTTGTTTGTTTGTTTTGGTTTTTGGTTTTTGGTTGTTTTTTTTTTTTTTTTTTGCTGCTGTTGTTGTTGTTGTTTTTGCGGAACCAGAGATTGAACTCAAGCCCTTGCGCTTGCCAGGGAAGCGCTTATTCCACTGAGCCATCTCCCCGGCCCCCTACGTTGGGTTTTTTTGAGGAAAAAAAAAAGAAAAGACTGATTAAGAGCAAACAGAGCTGGGGCCAGCCTGATAGCTCAGCAGACTAAAGCGCCTGCTTAGGCAGAGCTCAGCGGCCCGGTTGCATCCCCAGTGTGCTGTGCTGTCTCCGCCCATGCACAGGCACCCAGAGAAGGTAATGGAGACTGGGCGTAGTGGTGTGCTCCTGTAATCCCAGCACTTGGGCAGCTGAAAACAGGAGAATCACTATGAGTCCAGTCTACATAGTGAGACCCTGTAGACCCTGTAGACTGTGTCCTAAATACAGAAAAAAAAAAAATTAATTTAGAAAAAAGAGCAGACAGAGCTGACCTTGAGTACATTTCTTCCCTCATTTATTCAGTACATAATAGTTGCCCACTATGTTCCAGAGGCCTCCAGAGCCCTGAGAATACAAGGTGAGTGAGAAGCTGATTGTGGCGGTGCAGGCCTGTGATCCCAGCATTCTGGGAGGCTGAGGGTGGAGGACTGCAATTCAAGATAAGCCTGAGAAATGGTTCAGTGAGAGCCTGCCTGAAAACATAAAAAAGGCTGGAACCATAGCTCAGTGTGAAGTATCTGGGTTCAGTCCTACGTAACACATACAGAGTGAGTAGTCATGGTCCCTGACCCTGCACAGCGGATAACCCAGTGCACTATGGAGTTGTCCAGGTTCCAAGAACAGATGGACAGTAATAAGAACCACTATGTCATCATATAACAGATAACTGTGAAGAGAGGCCTCATCTAACCTGGAGTCGGGAACGGGACTGCTGAACCAAGAGCTGCTAGAAGAGAGTTGCTCCGGACCAGCTGGCAGTTTGCACTTAGGAGATTTTGCCCTCTGTTGGGCATTTAGCAAGACTGGGAGATACCTTTGCTCCAGCCACTGCTGTACATGTGACCCCGCACTGGACAACTCCACAAGAAACGTCTGTCCCCTGGCATCACCAGAGCCAGGACTGAGGAAACCCAGACTGCAGAGGAAAGCAAGCTCCTTGCTTTCCTGCTCCTACTTTGAATCCTTCAGTACCTTAGGGTAAAGACCCTGTGACCCATAAGGCAACATAGCAAGAATCTGTCTCAGAAGAAACAAAAAATGTCTGAGGACACAGCTCAGTGCAAACATCTTGGGTTCAGCCTCCAGATGAAGGGCGTGGTCTGGAGTGGCTGAAGGGAGGAGCCCTTGTTATGCTGGCAAAGGTGCGAGGGCCAGCTTGTGCTGCCTCATGGACCACAAGGTCTTTATCCTAAGGTACTGAAGGATTCAAAGCAGGGAGGGGACACCATGGGATTTCCACTTTGGCAAGATCACTGGCTGCTGATGAGAGGGAATTGCAGAGGCTAAGAGGAACAGGACAGAGGGAACCACGTGAGGCACCTGGCATGGAGACGAAGTTGCCATGGTGCAGCTGGCTGGAGAGACAACCACAGGAGGGAATGAGCAGTATCTGCATCCTCATGGTTCAGCACAGGTGGATGGAAGCCATGAGCAGGGAGAAGCTGACTGCGAAAGTAAAAAAGGACCAGGACCCCAAACCATGTGGAGCTTGGCTGCACAAAAGGAAAAGCTGCTGGGTGTAACAAAGTATGAGAGAAATTGATGCAGATACTTCTAGACATTTGGGCAGTTGGCCAAACAACCCCATAGCATTCAGTAGTCATAAGAAATTCAACCTTTGTGAGCCTCGATTTCCTTTAAAAAAAAAAAAAAAATGAAGATCTTAACCAGGCATGGAGGTGCACTCCTGTAGTGTCAGCACTCTGAGAAGCTGAGGCAGGAAGGCTGCAAGTTGGAGCCCAGCCCAGGCAAAATAGTGAGAACCTGTCTCAGAAGAAACAAAAAAAACTCTGAGGACACAGCTCAATGCAAACGTCTTGGGTTCAGCCTCCAAATGAGGAAACACAGGTCCTGAGGCTTACCTTGCAAGGTTATTGTGCAGATTTGGATGAAAGCTTTTACATTTCTGGCTTAGGAAGCTGCTGTAGACCCCCACGCAATAAAGACATGGCATGAGAAGAACATGGCAACAGGATTGTGAAATCTCTACTCTTGACATTGCCACAACCCACCAAAAAACAGAATTGAACCTAAGACCTTCACCTTGTGCTACATCTCCAACCCCTTTAAAGTTGTTTGTTGAGACAGGGTTTCACTATGTAGTTCAGAATGGCTTTGAACTCACGTTGTAGCCCAGGCTGGTCTCCAACTCACAGCAGTCCTCCTGCTTCAGCCTCCTGAGTTCCAGAATTACACATGTGTGCCACCACGTATCTGGGACGTGGCCAAGATCCCCAACTGCTCGTAGGCGGGGTACTTCAAAAGGATGAATGAAGAAGCAGAGATAAGTTTAGTAAAGCATGAAAGGGGACTGGTAAGTAGTGCCTCACGGTGGGCAGAGACAAAGACACTCCAAGCCAGCCACTCTTTGTTGGACT